CCCCCCCCCGCGCCCCCTGCCCCCCCCCCGCCTCTCTCGGCAGTGCCGGCTCGGGGGAGAAGGTCCCCGCCAAGGCCCAGGCTGCTGCCGACGCTGCCATGCGAGCCCGGAAGAGGAAAGCCGACGTGGGCACGGTGAGTGCAGGCTGGGGCAGGTGAAGCGGGGCTCCTGGCTCCTGGGGCCCTGCTTGGCCAGGTGCGGTGCCCCTCGCCCCTTAGCACGCGCTTGTCTTCTTTCCCCCCTTCCTTTCTCCTCTAGTTCTTGCAGGATCCCGATGATGAAATGGCCAAAGTGGAAACGGGCAAGAAAAAGCAGTGCGGCAACCAGGTAACCGACCCGGCTCGGGATTTGGGGGGAGTAAGGCCGCTGTGATGTTTTTCCTTGTTTCGGCAAGGTGATGCCCATGGCAGCGCCGACTGGTCCCACTCCCACCCGGGCCACTTACAAAAATACACACGAAATGGGGAAAACTCCTTATAATTTTACACGCTGTTTTCTTAGATCCTTTGCCGCCACGGAATAGATGAGACCCGTGTTGGTCAAACCAAAGTAGGGTTACCAGACGTCCTGGGTTTGTACGCTTTTTTTTTTTTTTAATGTCTAAAGGTCTGATCTTGCATTGAGCTCTGCACGGGTGCACAAAGGTCCTTCATCTCTGTACAAATGTGCATGGCGGGATTGGAGACTCGAAGACAGATGTCGCACGTAACTGTCGCTTAGCGTGGATCTGACTGGAATCGCCCTTTTCAGATGTGAATTTATGGGGGGAAGGGTATGCTTTCATCATCCCTGCCCCCATTTGTTCTCGCCTTAGCAAGCACTGTTGTCAAAATGCCAGAAATTAAAAGGTGCAGAGTTAAAATTTGGAAATCCACGTGCTGTACACCAATGCATGTATAATGCAGGGGGGGAAGTGCTGCATCTAGAGTTTCTCTAGGTGGGGTGGTGTAGAGTAGTTTCTATTGGAGCACTTGAGGCTCTGAGATGGGGCCAATAGGCAAATGTTAGGAGGGAGGAGATGTCACATAACAGGCATAGTCAGCTTTCTGAAACTCCTCTGTGACTATTAAGGTATCTTAATTTTGAGATTAAAACCCCAGACACTCTACGTTGTGTGTTTGTTGCAAACTCGGCTTCCACTTGTTTTTGTTCCACAAACTTGGGGTTCTGTCAGTTGCTGCCCCGCACTTTTTATATGTAGTATAAGATATGTGAGAGTTTTTAACTGTCTTTGTGAACTTGGGCACCTTTGGAAATGGATGCAGAATAAATTTGACTGAGGCACAGAGAAATACAATACATAGACCTCATACAGAGCCTTCGTTGTTAGGGCTTGAGCCAATTAGTGTGCGCAAAGGGTGATATTTAAGCTGCAAAAGTCATGATTTGGGGAATACAGCCCCTATTCATTCAGTATGTAGGGCTATGCATAATGTGGTACAGCTAACCAGAAGTGGCAGCTGGAAGTTTGAAGACTGAAGCGCTACCATAACAGATGGGCATCATTGTTTGGAATGGCCTCTGCTCGTTGCAACTGTGTATACTAGTTATCAGTCAACATATTAAGTAGGGCTCAAATGGTAAACATTTAATGAGAGGATCTAGTCTTCCCTTCTGTCTCTTTATGCAATATATTAAACTAATTTCTCACTTCTGACAAGGGGGCTATTTATCTTCACCACAATTCCATCTTCCCTAAAGTGGTGTTTTTTGTTTTGGGGTTTTTTTTGTGAATAACTTTCTACTAAAATTCTTAATGCGAACTACGATATTTACCATCTTCCCCGAAATGACAATGGAAAGAAAAACTTGAAACATGTTTAGCAAGGAGGCCTACAATAACTCTCTTCTTAAGTTCCAGAACTAGGTATAGCTTTACGGTGTATATTGGATTCGGTCTATGTTGGCGCGATCTGTGAAACAATTGGCATATGGGAACACAGCTACAGTCCCAGAGTGTAAATTAAAATATAATTTCTGGTAAAGCCTCATGGCACTGAGGAGAATTAAGTTCTGCAACTCTCTGTTTTATAGATAAAAATGGGTACCTCTTCCCATTTAAAGAAGATCCTTTGTTGTAACAAAGTATCCAGATTGTTGTGGATCTGTAAAATGATGAAGCTAACATTTGGCTGCACAGCAGCAGCTCTTCAGTCTGTGGTGTGACACAAGCTATTCTCTGATATAAATTGCCATGGGCCACTAATGAGAATATGTATGCCATTTCAACAGTAGCATAGCAGGCTTGTGTGATATCTAGAAAGAAAGCAAGATGGTATGTAGCAATGGTATAACTAACTCTAATGTGCTGCGCTGGATTTATAGCCTCTTGCAAGTACCACGTGACATTCACATTAAACGGTTAGGCTCTGTTTTGCTCCATGTATAAAGTAGCACTGTCACATCGCACTTATGGCGTGTTCATGTTCAATTCATTAGTTGGTTTCTGTTGAACATAAGGCCCAGGCTTTTAATTAGGAAGCTGTTACCCTTTATGGGATGAAAGGGTGGTTATATCATCAGGCTGGTAGAAGCGGAATTCTGCATTTCATTTTGAAGATAACTGGTACTGTTGTAATTCTCTTGGCATTTCCCAAATGGATCGTGGTCACTAACTTGTGTACAGGTATGTTTCCAACATTTGTTGTGAAACACAGCTCCTCTAAACAACTATTTATTGTTTTTACATATCTTAATAAAGAATGATTTGGGTGAGTTTAGTAACCCACAGAATCCTTTGTAAATCATGTAGCCTACTGAATTTTAGGGTAAGGAATTGAAACTAGAGCTGCTCAGAAACTTTTCAAGGAAACTTCCTTTGGAAAAGGGTAACTACTTGAAGTGGAATAAGACAAACCAGTTTATAACACTTTTGGAAGAGTTAAAAAGTCAATGAAATATTCCATTTCAACATACCTTCAATACAGGATTCTCTCCGAGTTCTTAATTTAGGATAAAAAGACCAAATATCTTCAGGCTCACAAATCTAAGGTTTTTAAGCTTATCCTTATTTGGGACAGGAAAACTCGAAATTATTGGAAAATATAGGATGGAAAGATGGTTTCTTATCTAGCTCTGATTGAAACCTTAAGCCCCAGTAGTCCTTCTCTTTCATCTTCCACTCCTTTCCTTATTTCCCCCCCCCCCTTTAATTTTTTTCTTCCCTTCTTGATCTGGATATTGTAGAACTGCTTTGTGAGGCTTTCTTGTAGCATAACACTTCAACAAGATCTGTCATTATTTGCAAGCATATTGCAAAAAATATATTAAGCTTTTAGTTTTATGGACTGGCTGCCAGCTGTTGGGTTTTTGTGGTTTGTTTGGTGGGTTTTTTTCCTTCTGGCAGAGCAGGGGAAAAGGGTCTATTTGTATCTCTTCTGCAGTCTCCAACCTGCATCCCTGTTCTTGCGTCTTTCAGTTCTGAGTAGGACGATGCTTTAGTTTGTAATTGGAGCTGGCCATATTTGCTTGGTTAGTCTTGTCATTCCTCACCTACTTCTAACTGTTCTTCCAGCCATGCTGTTAAGTTTCTTTTAAATGGGGGGGGGGGGGGGGGTGGTTTTTTTT